TAAGTAATAAAAATTTTAAAAAACCTGCCAACTAACTTGTAACGATTGTCTGTTTTTATTTTCTTGCAGTTGTGGAAACGTTGTTAAAGTTCACATATGTAGAGAAATATCCAGACGAGGCTCCTCTGTGGGAGATTCAGTCCCAGGAGAACCTGGAGGACGTCGATGTGGGGGAGATCCTCACTTTACTCCAACAACAGGTCTGTCTGAACTCACTGTGATCTCCATCACTGATGTTGTTTTAAATCCTCTTTCTGTCTGTCTGTGTGAGGCTTCGGTCTGTTTGTTCAGTGTGATGGAATGAAATTATTTTGTATTTTATCTCCCCAAAGAGCAAACCTGAGACGAAATGTCCAACAACATCTCCTAGCATTTTCTTTGCTTAGCTGCAGCTTATGTGTTGTGTAAATAATGTTCTAAGATCTCCTTTGAGAAACCAAAATCTGTATCTGTAATATAATTTGAGTATACTATGATGCGTTCCATCTGTGCATTAACAGGCCAGGTGACTATCACACAGCCAATCAAATCTTTTTATTTAAAACATACATTACAGTAACATCAGATCTTAGACGGTGAAACAGAGTCAGACCACAGCTGCACAACTCCGGGTCATTTTTATACAACTTAAAAACATAAACACAATCTTGTCTTACCTCGGTTAGCTCAGTATTCCCTCAGCTGCATCACAGCAAACACAGAAAATATCTTATCCATGCGTTAACACAACTGTGTTCCTGAATTAGAGACAACACACCATCTGTCCTTCGCCTCCAGGTTAATGTTTTGTGTTTTATTTCCCTGCACTCACATGCTCCTCTGACGATCTCAGTTTGTTCACAAACACATTTTATCAACGTGGACTCTTTGAAGAAGATGTGATGTGTTGAATTGCTCAGAACAAATCTCCAATTGGTCACTTTTTCAAAAAACTGTAAAATCTAGAAACTGTTACTTTACTACAAATTGCATGAGCATGAAACTGATATGCAATAAATGAATAATAATTTTAAATCCAAATCATCCAAACTTAAATATCAGCCCCTTTTCAAAAGATCTGGGGGTGTCGTTTTAGCATTTCCACCGCAGTCTGAAGTCCCGGGAAGATTATGCAAATGAGGCCAATGACATATGGAGAATGAAAGTAACTGCACTACACCACCAGTCCAGTAGGTGGCGGTAAGGAGACGTCGAAGGGCAATGCGACAAAGGTCCCAGAACTTTTAGAAAGTACTACCCCCAAGCAGGGTCCTTTTTTTTAGACCCTGGTTCCTGCAGTCAAAATGCACATAGTTCCTCTAAAGGTCCCAAGTTTGGAAAGTTCCTTCAGTGGAAATGGATCCATTTAGTCACCATGTTTCTGCATTACATGAAGTCAGGTTTATCAACTTCACAGGTTATGCCTCCTTCAATTTCTCAGATTCTTTTCCAAATGTAAGCGATGTGTCATTTTACCAGTCAGGAATCATTTTCTGATCATTCAAACCTCTCCAGCTGCTGGAAAGCGTGTTTCCTTCATGTGAATAAAGAATATGTGCGTTCTCTGCAGGCGGAGGAGAACCTGGGCATGGTGATGATCTTCACGTTGGTCACAGCCGTTCAGGAGAAACTCAACGAAATCGTGGACGTGATGAAAAACAGACGAGAGGAAGAGAAAGAACGGAGAGAGAGAGAGTTAGAGGAGGCGGAGAAGGTAGGAAACGGAAACACGTTCACATAATTCTAAATGATTACAGTCGTATATCTTAGCTCTCGTTTAGGACCTGCTGCTGTCAGACATTTGATGTGTGTGTGTGTGTGTGTGTGTGTGTGTCAGGTATTGTTCCAGGGCACTGTGGTCACCATTGAGAACTTCCTGGCATGGAAAGCGAGGTTTGAGCTGGAGGTGGACGAGCTGAGGAAGAAACGGCAGAAAGAGGAGGAGCAGGGGGGCAAACTCAAACTCACCGGTAAAACTCCGGCGCTCTCTGTGAACTTTGAAGGAAGTTGATCATATAAATGTACAGACTGAAGAAAATGTGACGTTTGCTTCACCAGGTAAACAACTGTTTGAGACAGATCACAACCTGGACACGTCTGACATCCAGTTCCTTGAAGACGGTAAGAATGTTTTCTGAGCGTCTCTGTATGCAATAGATTGATTTATAATAATAACTTTATTTATACAGAACCGTTAAAAACACAGGTTTACAAAGTGCTTTGACGCACAGCAAATACAGAAAAAGAACAAAGCAAAAGAACCCAAACACAGACAACAAAAACAAAAAAGAGCAAGACAAGCCATGCAACAAAATGCCCAACAACATATTTAACCCAACCAGCACAAAACAGACCGCCCCCCCCCCCCATAAGAGCCATCATGAGATCATAAGAACACAGGCAACACAAGAAGCCAACAAGCCGAGCTGAGACCAAGAGGACCAGAGATAGAAACCAAACTAAAAGACATGATTTGAGGTTATTATGAGGAGGAGCAGGTGTTAATGTGTTTTATATATTTATTACTTATTTTGGGTCTAAATGACTAACAGGTACAAACAGGTTTTAATGTCTCCTGTAGGTTTCTTCATTCTTAAGTGCTGAAACATAATCCTCAATCAATCAAAGTCTGTTCACTGAGAGATCTTGTTTTTGTCTCTAACGGGGTTGAGATTGTTATTCTCAGCGTTTGACAACATTACAGAAAGGATCCGTACACAGAGAGAGACATACAGTAGATGTGGAAGAGGAAGATAGTATTTTAAACCACAAACAGCTGTTACACCTCTCTAGTTGTTTTTTAAATATGCACTCCTGAAAATACCTAGATAATTTGAGACATGACGTTTGAAAAAAAAAACCGATGCAGAAGTAGTGGACTAAGCAACAGAGTCTGCTACAGGACGCTATAATGAGAATATTTGCCTTTATATCAATGCTATGTGTAGTTGAACAGAATAACAACATCAACAAAAGAGCGGAGAACAACACGCTGGAGAAGAGAAAACAGAATGCCGCCGTTTAATGACCTAAGTATATGTACTGGTCACTGGATGTAAACGTCTCCACCCCCTCCCATTGGCTTGAGGTGAATTCTCCGGAGAATATCCTGCTGCGTTCTCACATCAGCTCACTCTGACTTGCAGTGGAAAAAATACAAGCGGTCTGGCAGGAGAAACTCCGGGTGAAGTTTGAAAGAAAGATTCATAACAATAACACACATCGGTACAAATCGATGAAGGTTACAGTGAGACCAGTAACTCTTGTGTTCTGTGAGCTACAATGAATGAGTCTGGGGTCTTTGATGATACTGTGTCACAGCTTTGAGGAGATTCAGGGCGCTGCTGATCATTGTTTAAAGTTTAAATCTTAAATGCTGGATCCAGTTGAGAGTGAATTTATTGTGATGTACTCCTTCTTTCTTCTTCTGCAGGTGGAAACAGCGTAGAAGTGGACGAGTCTCTGTTCCAGGACATCGAGGACCTGGACCTGGATGAGGACGACCCAGACTTTGACCCTTTAGAGATGGGCAGCGATGAAGACTAATCTAGGATCAGGACTGTGAGGACTGACTGGACCTTGCACCGGGGTTCTCTGGAAACGGTTTAATCCCAACAGCTGCTTTCATTTTGTAAAGACTCTCACAGCAGCTGGAGAGAGAATCTGCAGAAACACAACGTATACACAGCCATGAGTGTTAATTCAACGCCTGAATAATTAAAATGTACCAGATTAATGTCTGACCTCGCTCTGCTGCTGTGTGGCAGCGCGGATGTTCGGCCAGTAGGGGGCAGTACAGTGTCGTTAAGTGAGTCCAGGGAAAAGAAAAGCATTCAGACACACAATACTCAAATGAATAAATAAACTCTTTTACAATAACAAGTGAGCGTACTCCATTGAGACTCTTGTTTGAATAAAATAAAGAAAGAATAAAAGTGAAAACTGGAAGCACTAATTTAAGACATGAACCCTAAAAACATGGACGCTGTGTACAGTTTATAAAAAGACAGAATGTGATGATTTGGAAAAACATTAAAACCAATATTTGATTAAAAGATGCACAAAGACGATGTTTTTTTGAGATTAAAGTAGTAAATTTGCGAGACTGACTTGGAGGAAGTTGTCTGCAGAGTAAAATAGCCTACTTTAAGAGTTCTACTTTAATCATTTTGCGCAGGCTGGTCTCGAACTTCACTCTCGTAAATTTACAAAAAATTTAAATATATATATTTTAATGTGGCCCTAATCCTCTGTCGTAGGTGCCCGACTTCCCGAAAAATTGTTTTTGTTAATGTTAAGATACTTTTATTAATTTAAGTATTGCACATCAACTTTTTACTAAAACATCACTTTTAACAGTTACATTCCTCTGATCGTTGTTTTTTGTTGCTGTTGTTACAACATTCAAACTTTCCAAAGTGAAATCACGTGAACACACTGAAGTCGGAAGAATGACTTCCCAACTCAGAAACTAGGACCACCCGAGCAGCACCTGAATGCAGCATTTGAATGTGTCTGTATGTCAGCCCTGTGATTGGGTGTGACCCCGCCTCTCGCCCAATGACAGCTGAGATCAGCTAATATTTAAAAACCAGGATCCACAGCAAACGAGAACTCAATAAACAGTTCCTTTAATGATAAAATATATGACCTCTCGTACTTTGTAATTAGTGAACTCGGATTTTATATTAAATGTAATTTAATTTTTTATATAAGGCACATACACACATTTTATATAAAATGCATGACCACAAATATTTTTCGTAAGATGCATGTGCAGCTATAAGTTAAATCAAATGTTTATGTACTCATGTTTTAGGTTGTATTTATATGAGATACAAAATGCATCTGTAATCTTATTTTATTTTATATTTACATGCACTCACATTTATACACGATGGATGTGCACTTATATTATTTTATAAAAAATGCATCCAAGCAGACCTGGCGCCCTCTGACTGGGACCAGGACCAGGACCCGGGTACACTCCAGTTTTTATCACCTTTAGCCACAACCAAACAAAAAGTTCAAATTAGAAGTCGTTCGGAACAAAATATACCGATGAAGAAATAAATATCTTGACTGATTGATGAAAGCAGATAGATGTTAAGATATGTCAGAAAGTACGAGGTCGTCTGCAGAGACTCAGTGAAAAAAAGTTTAATTCAAACAGCCAGGTCAGTGTAATGAAACCGTAACGTTAAAGTCAGTGTGAGAAAATAACATATTTACAGAGTGTGCTTGAAATCAATGAAATCACTATGAGAGAATTAAAATCTAAATTCTGCACCTTTTCAGCCCCAACCTGTTTCAGCATGGAAAGGTTAGCCCTGAAGGCTAACATGCACATGGACAGCATTATAGCAGGAGGGAAAACAAGCCCATATAAATAAAGTTTTCTTCAGTATCGTTCATGTAGCTGCAGCTGTGACTCTTCTTCTTCTTCTTCTCTGGTTTTTGTCCTGATGAAGTGTGATCACTTTATGTCCCGGAGGTCCCAGATAAACGACAGAGGGAAGTCCTGCATCTCTCTGTGGAAGGCCTCGTCAAACCTCTCGCTCTGAGCCACGGTGAAGTGATTCTTCCAGTCCCCGATGGTGCCTGAGGTGAACGCCACATAATAATGGAAGATCAGACGATTGCAGTTACTTCGTTTTCTCAAAGTGTCCGCACCAGATCATCCTCAACAGGTTGGCTCTATAGGTGTAACCCAGGTCTCTTTAACTCCTTTCCATGTTTGTGGAGGACATATTCTCCCCCTCCTCCACCTTTTCAAACACTCCCCTGTGGTCTAAATGAAACATCTGTGCTGTGCTTTGGTCAAAATATAACATGCACAAGCACCAGAGGAGGTTTGTGACCCTGTATAAACCAGCTCTCTCAGAACGCTCCGTTTGGTGTGTGTGTCTCTTTAAATGTAATGACCCCGCCCCCTAGTTTTCAGGTAGACATCACTCCTCTGTAGAGAGAATAAAAATTGCAGACCTGTGCTCAAGTTTTGCTCTAGGCTGGGGGTGGAGTCCATGGGTGGAGATATCAGGGGAGGGGATTTTCTTTTTTTACCAGAATCCCACTGTGACATCACAAGGAGAGCACATTTGAAACAGAGCATTTTTCTCTGTGTTGTAAGACTTATGCAGACCACAAACAAAGGACTGGATGGGTTTATTTCACATTTTGTGGTTCGGTAGACACTCAGGTTACCCAGATATATGTGCACAAACACTGAACAAGTGGATTTTTATCTATAATATGTCCCCTTTAACTTCAGTTTAAAAGCTGTTAATATGACTGCATGTCAAAGGGTGCCTTTTTACATCTTTTGATTTCATAATAAGTGTTGTAGTTCGTTGTGCAGGCTTTCTTTTCTCACCTTTCCTCATGAAGCGTCCCTGGCTGTGGTTGAGCAGGTCGTCTGAAACCTGCTCGTAGGACGCCTGAGGGATCTTCTTCATGTTTTTGAAGGTGCTGTGCTTCACCACGTCGGCCAGCTGCTCCTCCGTCAGATCTTTACCCAGGAGGCCGGAGATCCTCTTCACCACCGACGGCAGGTCCTCCACAGACACACAGAAACATCACCAAACTAAATATCTCTTTGAATACAGACTGATACTTCTGAACGACATCCGATAGTTTTACAAGCTTATAGATAGAAAGATGAAAAGATGTGAGCGCCTACTTGGATCATTTCTTCATAAGTAATGAACAGCATGTTCATGTCGTCGCTGTGGGAGTACCACGTCTTAACGTGCTCGAACCAGCTGCCTCCAAACACTGCGGAGGAAACACACACACACACACACACACACACACTTATTATTACACTACAGCGGTAACACATGAGATCATACACCCGAGCAGAACTTTTCTTACCTCTGGCCGCCATAAATTTCTCAAAGAAATCATCAAAATCTTTCGGGGTTTCCAACATGTTTGCAAAATTGTGAAAGTGGAAGTAAGACACGAGGACATCTTTGGGATTTCTCGCCACGTAGATCACCTGAAACAAAAGGAAATGGAAAGTCTGCTTAACAACAACATTCAACTCTGTAACTGTATGTTCATTTAAAAAACTGCTCTGGGGCCTGAAACTGGCCTCTCAGAGTTAACAGGGTGATTCTGTGTGAACTGTTTCCTGCAGCTATGGGTCATAAAGTCACAAGAGAAGAATACAACAAACAACAGGAATGCAGGACAAACAGAGAAAAACAATAGATCTGTTGTGTTTTTTAAAAGGAGCAATCAGTAAGATATCTACTGAATGAGATGATAAAGGTATCTTACTATCTGATCATTAAGGAAACATGCTATGTTGAAGTGCTGGCTTCTCTGACAACAATGCAGCAGCCAGTATGTCCTCCTTCTAACTTTAGATTCTGCTCCTGAATGCTCTGGATTTGTTTGGACCAGAGAAGGCCCCCACACGGCCGTTTTGGACGCCCCTCGGTTTCCCAGATATGAAAGCAGTTATCAGGTCAAACCAACAAGAGAAGTGGTTCAGATAGAAGTGATTGTACCCGACCTAAAAAGCCTCTGCATGTTTCTAATAAGCTCCACGAGCAGAAACGTGCTCAAACTAGGATCAATATTGGAGATGCTTTTGAAAAATGGAGAGAGGTTAGAACACAGAAAGGTTTACAGACCCATGCAGAGCTGGATAAACACTGAAGCTTCAGAGTCCACCACATGGTGACCTGAGTGAGCATCAACTCTAGAGAGGAGGGGGGGAGACAGCTCTCTATGATGTTTAGAATTTAGACTGCAGTACCCGTTTTAAACACTAGGTGTCAGAATTACATACTGCTCCTTTAAAGCTTTGAAACTTTTTGATGCTATATCGATCATTAAAATAACAGATCTTATATTGTTTTAAAACAATAATATGTTATAATCTACAACAATCGATTTGTGCAAAAACATAAAGTTCTTAAATCATTTTTTTTTGTCCCGTCCGTGTACAAACAGAAAGAGAAACAGTGGTTGGAAACACAAAGATAAGATGCATTCAAGGTGCGTGTTAAACATGATTACACACCTTTCCCTTCCTCCTGCTCAGAGCTGCAGGCATGAACTTGTACTGCAGGTGTGAGACCCTGAGGCGGGGCGAGGGGGCCACGATGAAGGCCTCTCTGTTGCCCTTCAGCTCGATCCAGGGCACCAGGTCCGAGTTATTCCCCTCCTGAGAGATGGCCGTCAGGTCTCCTTTGGCTTCGATGAGCAGCAGGATCTGCTGCATCCAGATGGTCCCTGAACACAATATCATCCTCGTCATCATCACTCTTCCTCACAGTGCAATGTATAAGACAGTGTGCAGGATGTGCTCACAACATACTGGGTACTCAGGACTTCTTCTATTTCTGTAGGTATTGATATCGCTTGACTTTTACTAGAATCACATCGAAGCTGTAAAATTCTGGTATTGTTAAACCCTGTTGCAGACACAGAGGGGAGACGTCGGTGTGAACAGACTGAACAGTGTGGAGAGTTCACAGAAACACCCCATACAACTTAAAGTAAGGCTTATTGGAAAAATGCAGACTATGAGGAACAACTGAGTAATCAACTGTTTTTTTAAGACTTATTTTGGGGCTTTTTAGGCCTTTATTGTAGAGATGGGGTTGCAGATCAGGGACAGAGAGAGAGAGAGGAGAATGACATATGGAGGATGAGGAGGAAGAGGCTAAGGAGCGGCAAGAAGACAAAGTCATGAGATATGTATAGGAGGTGTTGGAGGAGGAGTGACTGAGCAGAGTGGAGGGGTTAAGACAGCAGGGGGCTTGGTCAAGATGGGAGAGTGTGGAGCAGCGCAGGATTACCTCGTCATAAACATCATGCAGGCAGACTTCCAAGATGTCTATGATGCTCTACCAGGCCCAGCCAACCTTCACAACCAGCATCTCCTGAGCAGCTGTCCAAAGGCCCTTGCATAAGGACGATATCGCCACATCCTCTTCACATCCTCTGACCGGGAGCTGACAGTCGACTTGGGTAAAGTTCCCACAGCACAATGAACTTCACTTCACTTCAGCCAGACATGAGCAGCACCTCTGAGGCAACAACAGCTGATCTTGCTGGAACTCATTGAGTCATGGGAAGAACGCATGGAAGAGGTCCAATTAAAGGAAGTGGGCAAAATACCATGTACTGGTGGAGGTCTGCCAGGACAGGGGCAGAAAGACTCACTATGAGCCCATTGAAGTCGGCTGTAGAGGCTATTTAGCGAAGTCCTCAACTAACTGGGCATCTCATGAAGACGGCTTTCCAATCCTTTGAGCGAAGCCGCAGAGAAAGCGACCATATGGCTCTGGATTAAGAGGGCTGAACCGATGGCTGCTGGGATGCAAGTCAGGGTTAGGATCAACACAGCCACCTATGACCCCAGGACACATCGCTGATGAAGCATCCCAGCGTATCAAGAGGCCAATGTCAACAACTTTAAATCCATTGTTTGTATTTTTTTTCACAAACACTAAAAACACATTTCCTGAAACAGAGGCTTAATTTCTCAAACTCTCAAAAGCCACGTCCTTCCACCAAAACAACACACACAGCTGTTATATTCTCACACAGAGCATCAGATAAACATGGATGTGATCAATCAAAAGTCTTCATGTATGAGGCCATGCAACATATTCTGACACATGCAGGTGTGTGGAAATAATTTGACTTTTCATTGTTTTGATGAAGTGTAGGTTTGTTTGTCCTGAAATAGATTTTACAGTGTTACATGTATATGCAACATGTTTCCTATTTAATGTAGCATGTAGCAAAACTCAGGAATTTCACCTGTAAGTACAATGAGAAAGAGCACAAAGAAAATCAGTGCACAGATACAAAATTTGCAATTCAAAGTGATAAGCTGAATAAAAACACAATGTGCCTGATGAAGGTCTAGTACTGAAACATTTACGTGTTTTGATGACACATTGCTCTCCTCTGCACCTCTCTACTGAAATGGATGTGTGAAGGTTTTTTTTTTCCATATAGCTGAATAGACAACATACAATTTGCAAGATGCAAGGACCCAGATCACGTTGCATCTCTCCTCTGATACGGGTCAGGCCAGAGGACGTCATCATCCACACCGGCTCTGACACATGACTCAAGTGTTTTCTCTAATTGTTCTTCAACGTAAGTTAGCAAAGGCGCAACAGGAGTGAGATAAATAAATTGCAAACTTACACCTCTTACCTCCAGCAAGTATTTTTACATTCAGTCGACAAGCCTTAATAAATGCTGTATTTAATTTTTTATTTTTTTTAACCAGTAAGAATGTTAAGTTAAATCCTTAATGTATAAATCTCTTCTTATTTTTATTTTATATATATATATTTCTAGTGCTTATTTACTATGTATCTATTCTTATATTGTTTTATTTGCTCTGATAACCTGCTGCTGTAACACCACAATTTCCCAGTTTAGGATCAATAAAGTAATTCCATTCTATTCTATATATGTAACCAGAGTGCTGCATTTTGAAGTCCAGGTGAACAAATTGTGCAAAATGATGCAATTTGTGTTTCGATATTTGAGTGAGACCGACAGGGTTGTGCTTAGAGTTTAGTAGCTTGGTGTCATGTTGTTGATAAATGACAAATGGAGAGGAGGAGTAGAGGACAACAGACAATGTATTGTAACAAGTGAAGGTGCACAATTTCAACAAAGGAAGTGCACGTAAGTTGTGTAAAATAACTCAAATCAAAATCCTGAGTGAAAAAAGTCAAAAAAGTCAAAAAAAAAGGGTCCCATTCATGAAAGGACAAAGAAAAGTGCTGCAATTGAATGATTTTCATATCATTGAAATTTAGCAGGGGCAGAGAGAGATTTAATCCCTTCTTCACAGCCTTTTGTATGAATAGTTTTTCTTTGCATATACATTTAAAAAAGAAAACTGTTTCAGAAATACAGTCTGATTGCCAGGGCAAATTAGCCTACGTTAAGGGGGAAACAGCGCCATCTAGTGGCTTAATCAGGAAAGTAAAAACCAATATGCAGCCCTAAATCATAATAAAACTCAATTAAATATAATTGCACAGCAAACATGAGCCACACAGTCATTAGACATTACAATAACTGTTCCTACAATGTATCAGCGCACAAGAACAAAGACAAGAAGAGGAAACTAATATCTGTGAAACTGCATAAAACTGGTCATTTATATTGATCAGAAACATCACAAAACGGAATTAATAGTTTCTAAAGATCCACAGAGTTTCTATCCTCGTGCAATCAGAGGCGTTAATTAAATTCCTGAGGTTTGTATTATCAGCTGATCAAAATGTGCCTCAGGGGGACACCATCTGACACCCCTCACTCACAGAGAAGTAAATGATTGAATGTTGTTAGTCTTGTCCTATGAATGGAGGAGACATATGTTAACCAGTGAGGTTGATATTTGCGTTCCCGATTTTTTGTTGGTGTCAGATTATTTACAACATAATTGTGATCAGAATCAGAAATACTTTTTTAATCCCAGAGGGAAATCCGATCGTTACAGTTGCTCCAAAATATCCAATATAGCAGTAGAAATATAGTAATAAAAAAATTAATCAAATAGAATAGGAATATAAGTAAGGTTTCAATAATAGGTACAAGAAATATTTACACAAATACGAGTCAGATGGAATATATAAACACATTTTCAAGATGATTGTTTGTTTCAGTGTTTGTTGTGATGGACGCTGGTTGGAGGGGCCCCTCGTGAAATTGCGGAGGGTCCCAACAGACTCTAGAATCACCACTGTGCATTATTAACATTGAGAGCAATAACCTGCAACGTTTTAGACTGAACCACAGACAGTGTTGAGACATTCATTTGTCTGTGTGTGTGTGTGTGTGTGTGTGTGTGTGTGTGTGTGTGTGTGTGTGTGTGTGTGTGTGTGTGTGTTGAATAATGTTATGTACAGTAGCCTATGTATGTACCAAAGGAGAAACACATAGTGTCATTTTAAAGCCGTGCACGCATCATCTGATTCTGATCACACAACATGCGTCTTTCTTTTTCACACTGCTGATCAAAGGCTTGTTTTGTCTCTCTTAAGGTTTGCACACTGACCATAAAACTAGAACCATAAAACTCTCAAAGATCAAGCACAAAAGTCTCCCTATACCTGACTTTGGATACGTGACGACGAACACGTCCGAGTCCCGGACCTCCAGGTCGTAGATTTGCTCCACATCCTCCGGGTCGTGAATCCCGCTGATGAGCCCGAACCCTCTGTGAAGGACCAGGTCGTGGGTCTGAGTCTGGACCTCGTCTGTCTCCATCAGAGCTGAAGGACAAGTGAGTTTATGAATGAACTTTACTGCTTGGGAAACAGCCAGCAGCCGGTTTTGTTTTGCTTTAAAGCTCGGAACATTTTCACGTTATTTAACAGATTTATACCTGAAAAGTGAATATGTTGTTGTATAAAACTGTGCAAAACTAAGGGAGAAAGTTCTAAAAACGTCGAACCGGACAATATTCCTGAATAATTCGGCTAATTAATCGATTAACCGCAGTAAAGATGCACCGATTATCAATTTAAAAGTAAGATGTTTCTCACCTGCTGTGTTCTCTGCAGCGGGACTTTCGTGTAATCCTTCAGTGTTATCATCAGAAAGTGTTTATATGAGGCCAGACTCCAGCTGAACCTCCTCCTCCGTTCACCTGCTGACTGAGAGCAGCACGTGAGAGAGAGAAAAAACAGCTTAGAGAACAAACTGAGAACTTCCTGTTCTCACCACACCTCCCTGCTGACCGAGGAGGAGGAGGAGGAGGAGGGGGGAGAGGAGAGGAGAGGAGAGAGGAGAGGAGAGGAGAGAAGAGGAGAGGAGAGGAGAGAGGAGAGGAGAGGAGAGGAGAGGAGAGGAGGAGAGGAGAGGAGAGGAGAGGAGGGGGAGAGGAGGAGAGGAGAGGAGAGGAGAGGAGAGGAGGGGAGAGGAGAAGAGGAGGGGGGAGAGGAAAGGAGAGAGGAGAGAAGAGGAGAGGAGAGGAGAGGAGGAGAGGAGAGGAGAGGAGAGGAGGGGAGAGGAGAAGAGGAGGGGAGGAGAGGAGAGGAGAGGGTGAAGAGGAGAGGAGAGGAGAGGAGAGGGTGGAGAGGAGAGGAGAGGAGAGGGGGAGAGAGGAGAGGAGAGGAGAGGAGAGAGAGGAGAGGAGGGGGAGAGGAAAGAGGAGGAGAGGGAGAGGAGAGAGAAGAGGAGAGGGAGAAGAGGAGGGGAGGAGAGGAGAGAGAGGAGAGGAGAGGAGATGAGAGGAGAGGGGGAGAGGAAAAGAGGAGGAGAGGAGATGAGAGGAGAGAGGAGAGGGGAGAGGGGAGAGGAGGAGAGGAGAGGAGAGGAGAGGAGAGGAGAGGAGGGGAGAGGAGAGGGTGGAGAGGAGAGGAGAGGAGAGGAAAGGAGAGGAAAGGAAAGGAGAGGAGAGGAGAGGAGAGGAGAGGAAAGGAAAGGAGAGGAGAGGAGAGAAGAGGAGGAGAAAAGAATAAAAAGGGGAGAAGAAGGAGGAGGAGGGAGGGGAGGATAAAGGGAAGAGGAAGAGAGGAGGAAAGGAGTAGAAAAGTGAGAGTATTGAAGTTGTAGTAGGAAGAGGACAATCGTAATAGGAGAGAAGAGGAGACAAGGTTGAGGAAAGGAAATAAGGAGAAGGGAAGGAGGAGGTGAGGAGAGGAGAATAGGAGGAGGAGGAGGAGGAGAGGAGGAAAGGAGTAGAAAAGTGAGAGGAAAACAGAAGAGATGAGGAGAGGGAAGAGGAGAAGGAGGTCAGCGAGTCAGCAGAGTGTCAGCTGATCTCAGTTCAGTTCATGTCTCTGTTTAGAGTTTGTACAAAATGTAAACGGACCCCGAGATGTTTCACAAGAGGAGGAGGAACATACAAACACACACAATGTCCTCTGTCTCTCTAAATGTCATGTTTGTGTTTTTACCCACGGCTCTAAACCAAACTTCTCTGCGGGGACAATGAAGGTCTGAATGTAAACAGAGAGTGGGCGGAGCTTGTCCCCAGAGAGAGAGAGAGAGAGAGAGAGCGAGAGAGAGAGAGTGTTACCTCACATGAACCTGCCTCACTCTGGTTCCCCAGCCCTTTTTTTTGGGCCTGTGACCTCACTTTGACTTCACTAAACGTATACTGACATTTGAGCAATTTGAAGCGCGATAACGTCGCTGTCACATGTGGAGTTCAAGGACTTCAAATTCAAATTCCAAAAACTTTATTTGTCCGCGGGGGTCAATTCAAAGGCACACAGAGCAGTAAATTAACAACAGTGCAGGTAGTCTGTCGGGGGGCCCCTCTAACCAAAGTCCATCCCCCATTATGTTATAAATCATCTGACACCAACAAAAAGACAAAAAAAAAGAGTTCACATTAGTATGTCTGTGAGAGAGTGATGGTTAGGAACGGTTTTAACTTTAACTTTCCACATTTGGAGCCACTGCTATGGTTTAAAGGTCCCATATTACGCTTTTTCTGGTGTGTTTTCCAAGTGTCCTGTGCATGTTTAGGCACATCTACAGTTGCAAGAAAAAGTATGCGAACTCTTTGGAATTTCTCAGTTTTCTGATTAAATTGGTCATAAAATGTGTTCTGATCTTCATCTAAGTCTCAACAATAGACAAACACAGTCTGCTTAAACTAATACCACACAAACAATTATATATTTTCATGTTTTTGTTGAACACAACATGTAAACATTCACAGTGCAGGGTGGGAAAAGTATGTGAACCCCTACGCTAATGACTTCTCACAGAGCTAATTGGAGTCAGGAGTCAGCCAACCTGGAGTCCAATCAATGAGACGAGATTGGTTAAAGCTGCCCTGCCCTATAAAAAACACACTCCAGCTTTGAGTTTGCTACTCTCAAGAAGCATTGCCTGATGTGAACCATGCCTTGACAGAAGAGCTCTCAGAAGCCCTACAATTAAGAATTGTTGACTTGCGTAAAGCTGGAAAGGGTTACAAAAGACTCTCTAAAAGCCTCGATGTTCATCAGTCCACGGTAAGACAAACTGTCTATAAATGGAGAAAGTTCAGCACTGTTGCTACTCTCCCTAGAAGTGGCCGTCCTGTGAAGATGACTGCAAGAGCACAGCGCAGAATGCTAAATGAGGTGAAGAAGAATCCTAGAGTGTCAGCTAAAGACTTACACAAATCTCTGGCACATGGTAACATCTCTGTTGACGAATCTATGATATGTAAAACACTAAACAAAAATGGAGTTCATGGGAGGACACCACGGGGAAAGCCACTGCTGTCCAAGAACAACATTGCTGCACGTTTGAAGTTTGCGAAAGAGCACCTGGATGTTCCACAGCACTACTGGCAAAACATCCTGTGGACAGATGAAACCAAAGCTGAGTTGTTTGAAGGAACACACAACACTATGTGTGGAGAAAAAAAGGCACAGCACACCAACATCAAAACCTCATCCCAACTGTGAAGTATGGTGGAGGGGGCATCATGGTTTGGTGCTGCTTTGCTGCATCAGGACCTGGACAGATTGCTGTCATCAACGGAAAAATTAATTCCCAAGTTTATCAAGACATTTTGCAGGAAAACTTAAGGCCATCTGTCCACCAATGGAAGCTCAACAGAAGATGGGTGATGCAACAGGACAACGACCCAAAGCACAGAAGTAAATCAACAACAGAATGGCTTCAACAGAAGAAAATACGCCTTCTGGAGTGGCCCAGTCAGAGTCCTGACCTCAACCCAATAGAGATGCTGTGGCATGACCTCAAGAGAGTGATTCACACCAGACATCCAAGAATATTGCTGAACTGAAGAAGTTTTGTCAATAGGAATGGTCCAAAATTCCTCCTGACCGTTGTGCAGGTCTGATCTGCAACTACAGGAATGTTTGGTTGAGGTTATTGCTGCCAAAGGAGGGTCAACCAGTTATTAAATCCAAGGATTCACATACTTTTTCCACCCTGCACTGTGAATGTTTACATGTTGTGTTCAATCGAAACATATAATTGTTTGTGTGGTATTAGTTTAAGCAGACTGTGTTTGTCTATTGTTGTGACTTAGATAAAGATCAGAACACATTTTATGGCCAATTTTGCAGAAAACTAGGACATTTCAAAGAGTTCACATACTTTTCTTGCAACTGTATGTGCAAAAATTCAAAGTTTGCGTAAAAGCGGCTTCTCCTACGTCTTCCTGTTAGCTGCAGCATTAGCTGCATGTAACGCTCGGTTTTAGCCCCCCTCCAAAAAAACATTTGCCAGTGTGACGTCTTGTCAGTGTGATATCACTGATCTAAGCCCATTGGCTCGTTGTGGCAAGCCCTGCAGCTCATGTTGCACGCCTGTTAACTTCTGTAGCACGCCCACGATGCGTAGCCTGCGGTAGCACAGTAGTGCTAAGGTGCTAATGTTTTTGCTCCCCTCGGAGCCAAAGTGGCTGCATTCCCAATATGGTAAAAGGGGCGGGACATTTCCGAGAACCGTGCTGAGCGACTGACAAATCGGATCAGACTTGGCACACGAGCCGGTGCATGGAGCGGCAGTTCATGAAAACAGACACTTTTTTTTTAACTTTATCTATTGTGAACATACTTTAGTAGATACATAGATTAAATATATGAACCCCAAAAAGGGCAGAATATGGGCTCTTTAAAGTCTGTGTCCCTACTGGCCTGGGGGCCCCGGGGCAGTTCTCGCCTGTTGACAGCAGCGTCTCTGAACGTGGGAAATGCATGCATCCTCAGATCATGTGATCAAGATATGCCGAGCTCAGTTGACAGTTTTCTGCATGTAGGACGATGTAGCTGATTTAAAGTGTGTGTGGTGTTTTTATCAGTATGAAAAACATATTGTAAGGGACTACATGTTTATCTTGTTTATGTTTACGTCTTTGAATGAGTCAGATCGACAGCTGTGTCACTTGTGTCGGAGTTCAGTGTGTGATATCATGATTGTGATTGGATGACAACAAAGGTCGGTTGTGTGTATGGCGCTGCCTCTGTGACTCAGCGTGAATGAGTGTGTGCTGAGATGAGAGGCAGACAGAGATACTGTCTCTTTAAGTTTGTTAGCTTTTAGCTTTAGCCTAAAGAAGCCTGCGTCCAGTTCAGACAATAAAGCCCATGCTTGACTGGATGACGTCTTGTGGCAGAGTTTTCAGAGTCCTATCTTCACTTTGTTTACATCGCCGGGACGGCCGGCTGACTCCTCCCCTCGTGTATAAAAGTTGTTTAATTGAGGGACTAGAGAAAAGAAGAATAACATACTGTACTCACTGCTTAACTGTGTTTCTAGATCACGCTCATTTCAGGTAAATTTACATGCAGTGTGAAGATACGAGCATAATAAAGATCACTAGGTGGTCGCTTGGTTTCATGCTGGTGCTCAAGGGCGACATCTGCTGGATCAAAAAATCGCATATAAAGCCTTTAAGGGAAAATACTACAAAATAGTTTTCTATTGATCAATAATTAAACATTTCAGGCGACCCCAGGGTTGGGAAAGCCTGCTCTATAAGTAAGAAGAGATAGTTGAGTCCCTTTTTAAGAGGAGCTGGGTTTAAGGAAAGTGCAGTAAAAGTCAAACAGTCACATTTTCTGTCAGACCTGAAAATCAAGAATTTAAATATCTCTACATTCTGCTTTTCATAAATAAGCATCGAGACTCTCTCTCGAGTTTGGTTGGAACAGACGACCTGATGACAGGATCAGGGTTCTTCTGTTGTGTTCTCCAGAGCCTCAGATAATCACAGATTTCACACTTTTTAAATGACCTAATCTTTTCACCAGCAGAGATAAGCTCAATACAATCATAGAAAAAAAAAACAGAAGTCTTATTCTCTTCATGTCAGCCGGGACACATCTGGATATTTGATGCTAAAACTGCTGACTGCTGCTTTTCCCAGATGTTTGAGGATCAAGAGCAAACAAGAGTTCCAGTGGGCTGAACGTCCTTCAAACCTCACACACACACACACACACACACACACACACACACACACAGCTAACTGCAGTGCTCACGTTCACAGATGTGACCTAAGTGACTGGTTTAACAATCAGCGTTTCAGAAGTTTTGGGTGAGCGTTTTCAGAGAACATTCTGAACTTTTTTTTTGTTTTTCTCTTTTAGCAAACGGGGAAAAAAAATTCTGCAAATCACACGTTATGTAATAACACAGCATGAAGAGAACAGGGTTTATTAAAATAAAGTACAGTATAAATTGTATTACATTAAATATTTAAAAATGTGTTCACAGTAAAAAACAAAGAGATTCTTCTTCATGGGATTCTCTCTGCACACAGCGTCCTGGACTTTAAGATGCTGATCTGTAACACAAACAGAGATGAATATAAACACACACACATGCACACACACACATGTTCAGACCAGGTAGTGTCACAGTTTAATCCCTCTCACCTGTTTCTCCTCTGCAGACAGGACGCCCTGCAGCGCCACCACCTGGTACTGTCTGTGCTTCAGGCTGCTGATGGACTTCCTGACGTGTCGGAGGGCGGAGCCTACGGACTCTCTGCGCAGCAGCTTCCTGGTTTCTGACACGGAGGAGCCCGGATCCAGAATGAGGAGGCACAGAGACCCGTTCTTCTTCTGCTCCAAGCCCACGATGGAGCGGCTGTGACCTGAACCAGGACACAACAGAACAAAACTTTATATCAATGTTGCCAAATATTTGAAACTTTTCGATGATGTGTTTTTTAAAAGTTTTTTTATGCCCTTATTAGAAAGATAGGACAGTGGATAGAGTCAGAAATCAGGAAGAGAGAGAGAGAGAGAGAGAGAGAGAGAGAGAGAGAGAGAGAGGTGGAATGATAAGCGGGAAAGGAGCCGTAGGTCAGATTCGAACCCAGGCCGCCCAAATGGAGGGATACAGCCTCTGCACATGGGACGCTTGCACCAACCACTAAGCAACCGGTACATTATTACATTATTGGTGTTGATGCCTACAAAGAAATGTGACATTTAAAAAGTAGTGCCTTTCGCCTGACTGGAAGATTTCACAAAGCACGCGCTCCACATGGCGTGTGTTTTCAGACAGCACGCTGATCTGTTAGGAGAGCGTCACCGTCTCCTTGGTTAATAATCCCAGAGAGAGTGATGATGCTGACACTACGTCTGTCCAGGGTTTCTCTGGGAGTGATCTCTCTGCTGACAACAGAATTTACAACATGTGTCATATTTTCTGATGCGGCATGGTCATCCACAAGTAGACCTACCTCAGTTTCTGTAGCTGAGAAGTGTGCAACTACAGTAAAGTACAGTTTACTACAGTAAACTACAATAAAGTACAGTTTACTACAGTAAACTACAGTGAAGTACAGTAAACTACAATAAAGTCAGATAAACTACAGTAAAGTAAAGTACAGTAAAGTACAGCAAACAGTAAAGTATAGTAAACTACAGTGAACTACAGTAAAGTACAGTTAACTACAGTGAAGTACAGCAAACTACAGTAAACTACAGTCAGACAGCAAACTACAGTTAATTACAGCAAACTACAGTAAAGTACAGTAAAGTACAGCAAACTACAGTAAACTACAGAAAAGTACAGTAAAGTACAGCAAACTATAGTTAATTACAGTAAAGTACAGTAAAGTACAGCAAATAGTAAAGTATAGTAAACTACAGTGAACTACAATAAAGTACAGTTAAGTACAGCAAACTATAGTTAATTACAGTAAACTACAGTAAAGTACAGAAAAGTACAGCAAACTATAGTTAATTACAGTAAACTACAGTAAAGTACAGTAAAGTACAGCAAACAGTAAAGTATAGTAAACTACAGTGAACTACAATAAAGTACAGTTAAGTACAGCAAACTATAGTTAATTACAGTAAACTACAGTAAAGTACAGAAAAGTACAGCAAACTATAGTTAATTACAGTAAACTACAGTAAAGTACAGTTAAGTACAGCAAACTACAGTAAAGTACAGTAAACTACAGTCAGACAGCAAACTACAGTTAATTACAGCAAACAACAGTAAACTACAGTAAACTACAGTGAACTACAGTAAACTACAGTGAAGTACAGTAAAATACAGTAAACAGTAAACTACAGTGAACTACAGTAAAATACAGTAAACTACAGTAAAGTACAGAAAAGTATAGCAAACTATAGTTAATTACAGTAAACTACAGTAAAGTACAGAAAAGTACAGCAAACTATAGTTAATTACAGTAAACTACAGTAAAGTACAGTGAACTACAGTAAAGTACGGTAAACTACAGTAGAGTACAGTAAACAACAGCAAACTACAGTAAACTACAGTAAAGTACAGTGAACTACAGTAAAGTACAGTTAAGTACAGTAAAGTACAGTAGAGTACAGTAAACAACAGTAAAGTACAGTAACTACAGTAAAGTACAGTAGAGTACAGTAAACTACAGTAAAGTACAGTACAGTACAGTAAACTACAGTAAAGTACAGTAGAGTACAGTAAACAACAGTAAAGTACAGTAACTACAGTAAAGTACAGTAGAGTACAGTAAACTACAGTAGAGTACAGTAAACAACAGTAAAGTACAGTAACTACAGTAAAGTACAGTACAGTACAGTAAACAACAGTAAAGTACAGTAACTACAGTAGAGTACAGTAAACTACAGTAAACTACAGTAAAGTACAGTACAGTACAGTAAACAACAGTAAAGTACAGTACAGTAAACAACAGTAAAGTACAGTAAACTACAGAGGTAATAAGTGTTAAAGCAGCAGATATAATCCTAGATTTAAAACGTTTCAGCTGATAGAGTGAAAACATCTTCCTGTTACTAAAACTTCAGTACGAGTCGTAAGATGCCGATGTTAATGCTCACCTTGGTGCTGCAGGTAAAGTGGGGGCAAGGAGGTCTGGACCAGTCGGGGGGGCAGTCTGTTACTGCCGGTCTGACTGAAGTACTGCTTCACCCACTCAAACAGGCGGGGATGTGTGTCAGCAGGGCCGGTGTGCCGGTGGAAGTCCACGATCCGGGCTCTGAAAACACAAAGAAGTGACCGACTGACTGCAGCATTGAACTCACAGCTAACTGTAAGAAGATTTAATGTGTGATTCTGTTTGTTCTATGTAACCTGGGCCATGTTTTTACATTTACGCTCAACTAATAACTGTAAACACTCACTCACTCACTCACTCAACAACACAAACAAGCTGAACAGTCACAGCAGAAGTGAACTCCTGTGTTCTGTTTACAGAGTGGGGTTAAAAAGTAGGCGGAGCTACGCTGGGCCCAGGTAGAGGATAAGGTAACAGAGATGTTACAGAGGCGAGAAGTTCAGCAGACGTTCACCGGCGGGGGAGTGCAGCACTGTCAGGGTTCCCACTCTTTTCCAGAGATCATTTTCCAGGACTATTCCAGAACATTTTAAGCGATGATCGAGCTGGTATGACGGCCCGTGATCGTGCCACATCAATATTAAGTGTCTATAACAAAGCTAATCACACCCACTGTGAGCTACCGCTACAAAGGTATGTTGATGTGCTGACCTCAAACTGAGGAGAAAACACAAGTCTACCTTATAGTTACTCTCATGGTGTTTTTTTTCTCTTTTCGCTCCATCCTCTCAACTAAACTGTAATATATATATTTATTTTATATGTCGGGTTATATATGTCTGTTGGGTATCGTGCACTTTGGGTTCTTTTCTGTTGAGTTGTATTTAATAATTTTTAGTATTTTGCATTTGTTATGTTCTTACTGTTGTTTATGTTCTTCTGTGTTTGCTTTAGTTTGTTCTTGTTTTTGTTGTTTGTCAAAGCACTTTGTAAACCTGTGTTTTTAAAAGGTGCTATATAAATAAAATTATTATTATTATTCTTATAGTAACCGTTGAAATACAGCAAGGGTGCAATATTTAACTGTTTCGTTTTTTCTTTCAAAAAATGAACTGCAAAATTCTTCAAATTTCTTTGGGTATTTTGTCAACTTCAAGTGAGAGTGTGATGGGAACTTTTGTAAGTGCCTCAGAACATGTTATAAATCAGTCTTCAGGAATAGAGCGTGTACTTCTCTTCACCTCCCTGCACAGGCGTTGATGTGTAATATCTTGTAAATAGTAATCTTGCAAAGAATAGTTCTTCAAAGCTATTAACGGGTCTTTTGTGTAATTAAGGTGCGGTCACAATAATTGTGGTGGGGCCTCATGTGATATCGTTCCACGTGGGCCCATTGATAACCCCTGCTTATCAATGCAGTGCGGTGTGTTTGAAGAGCGTGATGTAACAACTGTGTCAGGTTATCAAAATGTCTGTCTCTGTATGAATCATTTAGTTTAAGGTTTATAGGTAGTCATCCAAGGTAAATATATCTAGAATAAGATAATGGTGTCAGAGCCACTGTATGAGATAAGGCAGTAAGAAACTTTGCAAAAGTGTCGACCAAAAGGCAGAGAAGAAGAAGAAGAAGACTGGCAGTTGGAGAACATGAATATAACCGCTGCAGGTTTTAAATCCTGGTTATTTAAAGAACAGAGTTTGTGAAGCGCATTCCTCACCTTTGTTAGACTTCAAAGGAAGTATCATGACAGGGAACTGCCCTCTGGTGTGTTCTCATGTCAATTAATCTACCGCCTGACTCTTTAGCCTCGTTCAGAGTCTGGCACATATCTCCTGAAGGAGTCAGGGCGAGCTGCATGTGATAAATGGCTGACAAACAGCAGAATCTTTTCACTCAGACTTTACCCGTTTTTTCTGTGTAAATGATGTGGCATAATGATGGGAACACATATAGGAAACGACGGGAGAATCTGCAGATTTGCCTCAGCTTTGTAGCTTCGATTTCCACAAGTTCTGCCTTCTTTTTGCCTCTTGATTCTTTATGTGACATTGAAACACATCACACCAGCCCCCTAGTATTTTCCAAGCCCTGATGTCTGAGCACGACTAAAGACTCTACGCACGCGACCGTTGCGATCTCTGTGCACATGAGGAAAGTGATTTATTTTTGTTTTCTGGTTGCCAGTTTGACTCTGTCGACCCCCCAAACCCCAACCCCGCCTCCTCCTGTCCGACAGGGAAAGTCTCACACTGCAAAGTGGATATGTGACAAAACCAGATCAGGAGGATTTCAGGTGATTGCATGTGTGTGAACACAGCTTTGGTGTTGGCATGCTTGAGCCTGAGGCGGTTTGCTGTAATGATGTCCATAATCAGAGCGGCTGCTTTGTGCTCACTTGATTCTCAGAGAGGTGAGGAGGCTGTAGATCTCCGTGGCTCCGATCCATGCTCGGGTCCCCTGCAGACGCTGGTCAAAGTGGGACGCGCCCTGAGCGTCCAGGCCTTCCTCCACGCCTCCTCGATCATCCTCTGCACCCGAGGGATGCTGGGTATCGTCCTGTCTGCAGGGTGGACAGAGGGAAATAATAAGGTCAGAAAATGTAAGAAAATTACAAACCCGTCTTTCAAAGTCAAAACCCGATCTTAAACATTGTCGCATCTTTTTTGTTTTCCTGCTTTCTCATGCCTCTGCATGTGAACCTGTGCAGATGAGAACGATGTTATGCATCATGCAGATAGTTCCAGTGAAGCTTCGCTATCAGAAAGTGTCTCAGTCGTCAGGATGAGAAATCTTTACTGTGTTTTGTTTGTGTTGTGAAGAACAGGGAGTGATAGTGATCTCTGTAACAACACCAAGTGTCATCAGACCAGAACTGAGAACAAGCACAAGACATGATGTGCTCTCTGTGTCATCAGACACGCCCACAGCTGACTCGTAAGTGCCTCGATTTGTGCTGAACATTATTATGAAGACTAATCACACAAACACACACAGTCACCGCCTTTCATGTTTAAAGAGAGCTGAGGGAAGGTGAGCTGATCCACACCAGATAAAGCCCGCTCCTCATACCTGTGACTACTTCTAGTAAAGAGAAGGTGGAGCAGGAATGTGAGGACAGATGTGTTTGTTTTATCAACCTATCACCTCAGGGAACAGAAAAGGCCATTACTTCAGCCTGCAGCAGTGAAACAGGCTGTAACAGCTGAAACGTAAACCTCGATTTATCAAAGTGCGTCCACTAAAAGTGTTGTTTTTCTCATCGACAGACTCAGACTTTTATTCTAAGCGTCACAGAAAGTAAGGGGGGGGGGGGGGCGTTTGAGGAAAGAGATTTTCCTCGCAATGCCAGAACACACATTTGAAACAAGCCCAGCTAGTGTGCGTCTTAACGTCATGGAAATGATCATGCCAACATACTGTACAGGCAGAAATCAAAACTGAAAGATGATGGATGCTGTACTGGCCAAAACGCTGTTTAAGTACTTTGAAGAAATGGAGGAGGACATCGGCGTCAGTGAACGTACAGGAGGAGGAGGATCTACTGTCGGCTTCTTTGCAAACGACCTTTAAAAGGTGAGGCAAAGAAAAAGGAATTATATGTTGGTGCTAACAGGTAAGCTAAGAGGGATGTTAGTTCTCCCATGTCAATACATTTCATCGAGAGAGAACATATTTTGTAGCTGTCGTACCACTAACCAGTGAGGAGAACGTTTATCTTACCGGTCTGTAAGTTTCCTCTGCACAGGAAAAAACTTCAGGGTTGTAGAACACAGAAAGTGTTTGTAGGAAGGTGCAGGATGGGAGTGTATTGACTAGAGGTGTGACTTCTAAACATTTAGAAAAACAATTTACAATTACAATTCATTTAGCAGACGCTTTTTATCCAGCGTACATCAGAGAGTAAGTACAACACTAATCCATTCACACACCGCCACTGAAGCAAAGGGAGCAATGCGGGGTTAAGTGTCTTGCCCAAGGACACATCGGATATGTTGCTCAGCTGGGGATCGAACCCTCGAACACTCAAAAAAAAAACACTAAACGTTTAATAAAATCGGCAACCGTTTAACGTTACTTAATTGTTGTTGTTTTTTTTCAATTGTTATTTTACTTTTAACATTAAACAACATTAATATCTTGACAGATATTAAGCTTTTTTTTTTTAAACGTGTAAATGTGCGCATGTCACTGCACAAAGCACTCCGCAATAGCGGTGCATATACAAGAGGGATGTCCAGACAGTGGACCTTATCGCTCCCTCTGTCTCTCTCTGCTGATGGGATTCTGCACTCTTATCCTCCCTTATGATGGGAGTGTATCGTCCAGTGTGTGTGTGTGTTCAGCTTGTATGATGGGAGTGTATCATCCAGTGTGTGTGTTCAGCTTGTATGATGGGAGTGTATCGTCCAGTGTGTGTGTGTTCAGCTTGTATGATGGGAGTGTATCATCCAGTGTGTGTGTTCAGCTTGTATGATGGGAGTGTATCATCCAGTGTGTGTGTGTTCACCTTGCATGATGGGAGTGTATCATCCAGTGTGTGTGTTCAGCTTGTATGATGGGAGTGTATTGTCCAGTGTGTGTGTTCAGCTTGTATGATGGGAGTGTATCGTCCAGTGTGTGTGTTCAGCTTGTATGATGGGAGTGTATTGTCCAGTGTGTGTGTGTGTTCAGCTTGTATGATGGGAGTGTATCATCCAGTGTGTGTGTTCAGCTTGTATGATGGGAGTGTATCGTCCAGTGTGTGTGTGTTCAGCTTGTATGATGGGAGTGTATCATCCAGTGTGTGTGTTCAGCTTGTATGATGGGAGTGTATCATCCAGTGTGTGTGTGTTCACCTTGCATGATGGGAGTGTATCATCCAGTGTGTGTGTTCAGCTTGTATGATGGGAGTGTATCATCCAGTGTGTGTGTGTTCACCTTGTATGATGGGAGTGTATCATCCAGTGTGTGTGTTCACCTTGTATGATGGGAGTGTATCATCCAGTGTGTGTGTGTTCACCTTGCATGATGGGAGTGTATCATCCAGTGTGTGTGTGTTCACCTTGTATGATGGGAGTGTATCATCCAGTGTGTGTGTGTTCACCTTGTATGATGGGAGTGTATCGTCCAGTGTGTGTGTTCACCTTGTATGATGGGAGCGTATCGTCCAGTGTGTGTGTTCACCTTGTATGATGGGAGTGTATCGTCCAGTGTGTGTGTGTTCACCTTGCATGATGGGAGCGTAGGTGTCTATTCGGTGCAGAGAGGAGAGCATCATCTGGAGGTTCCTGTAGCCACACCCCCAGCCTTTATCTCCCGCTGAGGAGCAGAAGTGATCGGTGTCGGCGCTCAGCCACACGTGGACACAGTCCCTGCAGTCCGTCTGGTAGTGTTCATACAGCGCTTTGATTACACCTGGACACACAGGTGAGCAGAGACAAACAAGATCACAACATAAACATATATACAACCCCTGAGGTCACCTGACACCACCACTTGCCTTGTATATATTTTTTTTAGCACCCAGTAATCAACGATACGCATGTGCATGTTTGATATTTTTTGTGCACATCCAACATTAAGTTAGTATCTTGTGCGGTTGTGAAGCAGGTTTTTATATTGTTAAGACTTTTACTGGTATTGTATTGTACTGTGTTCTTCTGGTGTTGTGACAAACTGCAACATGAGCTGACAGGAGTTTGTGTAAGCAATCTGAATAAACACACACACACCCAAACAGACACACACACACACAATGAATGTGCACATTAAGCACAGAACATTCAGTGAGCGTCGGGGAATGTGGCACAACAGGTTTAGGATGAAAGCAGAATCAGAGAGAGAGAGAGAGACAGGTGGGACGTCCTGACTGAGTGAGGTCAGACCGGTTCAACCAAAAGTCTGATCGATTAGAGGATGTCCAGTCTGATGCTTAACAACAGGACACACACACACACGCACACACACACACACACACACACACACGCACACACACACACACACACGCACAGACACACGCGCACACACACACACACACGCACACACACACACACACACACACGCACAGACACACACACATACGCACACACACACACACACACAGACACACACACACGCGCACACACACACACACACGCGCACACACACACGCACACACGCACAGGCACAGGCACATGTGCACACACACAGGCACAGGCACACGCGCACACACAGGCACAGGCACAGGCACACACACACACACACACACACACACACACACACTTGATAAACAGCAGTGTCTCCATGCACACACACACACACACACACAGGCACAGGCACACGCGCACACACAGGCACAGGCACACACACACACACACACACACACACACACACACACACACACACACACACACACACACACACACACACACACACCACACACACTGATAAACAGCAGTGTCTCCATGCACACACACACACACACACACACACACACACACACACACACACACACACAACACACACACTGATAAACAGCAGTGTCTCCATGCACACACACACACACACACACACACACACACACACACACACACACACACACACACACCACACACACACACACACACACACACACACACACACCACACACACACACACACACACACACACACACACACACACACACACACACACACACACACACACACACACACACACACACACACACACACCACACACACACACACCACACACACACACACACACACACACACACACACACACACACACACAGAATTGTAATGTTCAACACTTTTGTTGACAGCAGCAAGAATTTCACCCGGCACTAAACACTAAGACCGTATCACATCCTGCAGCAGAAAAGGTGTTCCCCCTGGCTATATTAAAAGACATCTTAACTTTTTATGAGCCTGTTCACACATACACTATGTAGCTGTTTCATTGTCAAATAGTCGATGTGCAGACTCAACCGCATGTCCTTTAATTTTTAATTTTCTGATTTTACAGATTAAGATGAATTGATTGTACAACTAATGTGAAGTGAGTAAACATATTAGAGTCAGTCAAATATAATTACTATCTGTGTCTTTAAACATTCCTCTGTTTGAAGACGAGTCTGTGTGAAGCAGCAGTTTGGTTGTGTGTGTGTGTGTGTGTGTGTGTGTGTGTGTG